TGCTTTACACAGCCACAAGAGTCACTGAAGAACCAAGAAATGGTTCCAGGTTTCCACACATCTCCATGCATCCCTCCTGCTTCCCTCTTAGCTAAAATACAAAAGCAAACTTCCCCAGTTACTTTCTTGCTTCCATTTATGAATGTAGCCAAAATTATTAGAGTTGAATCAAAATATTAATAGAATACTTCCAGATTTCCCTTTGTGTGTACACTTAGTGCTTTAGGCATGCAGAGTTGAGACTACACTTTGTAATGAGGCCACCAATGAAGCCAATCCCTTCATGCTTTGTCACTGCACACAATACTACTGAACTTCCTTCAGTTTTCCACCCCCACTTCTATTGCTGAATTCCTCAGTGAGTGTCCAGCAATGAAAAATTCAAACTCCATCAGATTAATTCATAATATGTATGAATGCAGAATAGGAACCAGTGGATTTTGGTTTTTTGGTTTCAGTATTATAGAATTTTGCATCACTTAAAATGTACTTAGCATCACAATATAAAGTATTAATATAGTATTTACATGCTAAATTTTACTTGCTTACTGTTGTGTGATGAATTCCTTAACAAATGTGTCAGCATAAAACCCAGGAAAAAGCTGTTATCTGTAGGGAGTCCATCTACTTTGTGCTACTTCAGTTTCTGCCTCTACCCCACCCCAAGCAAGCCACTGTGTACATTATTTATTCATAATATGGTTCTCCACAAAACCACTAATCTTCTTTTAAAACTCCTTTCAGCCTAGGATGGAGTTGTTTTTTTGTGATCCCTTTGTCAAACTCAGAAGCTGTCAAGATCCTCTCTCTCCTCTGTGTTCCGAAGAACTGATCTAATAACACGCAACTCCTCATACTCCACTAAAGCCCAAAGCTGCTGATTAATTTAGGAAGCACCTGAGCCTCCTAGGAGCCATAGCATAATGCCCCCCAAGACATTGAAGATATGTTTGGTTTGAAGCCTAGCACCAAGTTAATGGCATATCCTGCCTAAACCTGGTTAGCATCCAGAATATCAACATTCTTCTTCAGTGCCCTGAGGAAAGCTCTGTCTACCAGGCATTCCTGGGGATAACCTACTGAGTACTGACAGGAATTGGCGTCTCAGGAGAGTAATGGCAACCACAACATGGTTTAAGCTAAGCACAGTTTAAGCTTTAAGAATTAAATCTAGTGGCCCCACTCCCCTCTTTATACCCTACCACAACTGCTATAACGTTAAGGGCTGGCATCCTGGAGGGGTGTGCTGGTCTCCAATTCTGGTTTCCAATAGTTTTTTCCAATCCACATGCAAATGATTGTAAAGTATTGGCTCTGCCCTTGGCACAGCATCAATAACCTTAGTCTCCTTCTCTGGCAAGTAGAATCAAGACCATTTCTTTTTTTACCAGAGAAACAGATTTTATCCTCATCAGTGGAACTCATTACAAACAAAGGGAAGACAGTCCTTCCCAAACCAAAATCTAGTGCGTAAACTGTTTCCCTGAAAGATGTCAGCCACCTGACCCCTGACCTTACACATGTACAGCTAAAACTGAAACTGAATTCCTGCTTACAAAGTCCTGTAACAAAACTCATTACTGCATTAGAAGTGTCATGAAAAATGCAGGGAGGCAAAGAGAGTAAGCAGGAGAGAGAGATTTCTTCTAGAAATATACTACCTGTATAACTTAGTTCCTCTACTGATATTTTCTCAACCTGAAGACTGAAATATTGTAAAACTGGGCAATTTTTCGAGTATAAATTTCAGAATCTTAATGAAGAACTGTATCTTCTGTACAGCTTTGTTAGGTTTAGGGATTCATTTTTCTGTGTAAGAATCATCGAATCACAGAATGGCTTGGGCTGGAAGGGACCTTAATAGTTCCAACCCTCCTGCCATGGGCAGGAAACACACCCTTCCACTAGACCAGGTTGCCCATTAGCAATACCTTTCAGCAATGCTTTCACTTTCATCATCAGGAACAGCTGCTTGCTGGGAAAAGTGGAAAAAACTAATTAGGAATCTACCTTTTATAGAGTTTGCTGGGAGTGTTCCTCACCACTTTTCCATCACTAATGGTTTCATAATGTAGTTACTTTGAGTCAAAAACACCAAGTGTTTCCAAGTGCTAGGGTTTAATTCCACTAGGCAGCTAAGCACCATGCACCCAAATATGGAACACCGAGGTGGGTTATATTGTCTGGGTCCAGGAATTTTTACTTTTAATACATAATTTTCCATAAACAAATACACAAGGTATAAAGTAACCACTGTCAGGTAACTTACCACTCCCAATGAGAGCTTCTTTGATGTATTTAAGTGTTTTAAATACTGTTGGCATTTGGATGCAGCTTTAAAACACTTTGGAAGTATTTTTGCCTTGAATATATAGATAATACATACAAAGAATGCTTGTAGAAAGGATGCTTAGAAAACAGAGAGTCTTAACTGTGATTCTAGTAATAAAACTGAGCAATTAAATTATGCAGGAATATGTATAATTTAATTTTCAAGAGTGTCACGATTTGGCCATGGCCCAATGCCAGTGCGCTTGACACATCACATCCTCCCTGGTGGTCTAGTGGTTAGGATTCGGCGCTCTCACCGCCGCGGCCCGGGTTCGATTCCCGGTCAGGGAAGTAAAGGTGTCCTAGCTTCACATTGGTGCAGTGGAGAGAATCTTTCAGTTTTTCATGTTTAGTACTAGCTAGCAAGAGGGTTAATTAGTTTTATACTGAGGTATCGGTGCATACTTGAAATAGATCGATTTGAATATGTAATTACATACATATACACATAATTAATTGTGAAATTAGCATCCTGCTAGTTCAGTATAAAATATCTCATTAAGACACATCAAAGGGCTTGATGACATGAGATTCCCAGTTTCACGTTCTTTATTTTGATGTTTTAGACCACACTACTTAAGATGTGCAAACAATGGTTCCTGTCTTCTTACTTCTGCCAATGCTTATTCTTTCTGTAACTTCTACAAATGAGGATTATTAGTTGTCTGATTTGTTCATGCATTATTACCAATAAAAATGAAATCCTGGAAAGATCTTCCAATAAAGAAAATCAACACTGGAATTTAGTTTGGACATTAAGTTTCCAGAATTAGTAGTGGGTAGAGCCAAATACTACTTGAACAAAATTTGACTACTTTGCAATAGAAAAACTGCTTGCATGTTTCCCAACTGATTGCATATTCTAGTAACAGGAACAAACCTAACATACATTCTAGAAATCCTGAAGAAATAACTGACATAGACTGGGGCTATTAAACCTCATTGAAAATTAGTTTTGAGACTGTTAAGGAAACTTAGTAATATTTTGAGTGAGATTTATTATTTTTCATAAAAGCTGATGGGTGGTTTCACAGCTCGTCTAGTGGCAAAGCTATTTTGATCCTTTCCCCCTGCCCAGGGGTGTTTGTTCCAGTGGACAAAGAAGGGCAGGAAGCCTACTGCCTCAGAAATTGTGCCAATTCCCTTCCCTGCTTGTAAATCCAGATTAGTTCTCTAATCTTAAAAGGAAGAAAAATAAAAGAAAAAGCACAATCTTTCTTTCTGAAGGTAGAGGGAGATTGAGTTAAAGCCTGCCTCTGGAGAGCTTGTTTCATGTAGGCAGACATAGTTCAGTAATCCTGCTGCATTTTGCAATTTCCTTTGAGTTGGGATCTGCAGTGCTGCACTTTACCCAAAAGAAAAGGAAGATTGTAATTCTTTAAGTCTGTCACTTTTATGACACTGAGAACAGCTGACAGAGAACCACACCCTCAAACAAAGAGTAAATAAAAATGTAAGAGGCAAAGCAGAAGCAACTGAGGTAAGCAGCAGTGCTTTGTGTAGAAAACCCAAGAGGAAGAAATTATTGTTTTTAAAAGTGCAAAGAACCCCGTGTCCTGCTGCTTGACTGCCTATTGTGCTGAAAAGGACAGCTCTGCAAGTTCCTTATTATTTGGTTAATAAACAGATGAGTCTTGCACTGAGTAGTAAGAAAACATCTGAGTTTTCATGTTCTTGGTCAGCTACTTGATTGAGAAGAGGTATTTCCAACTATAAGCATCTCAGATACTGAATCACCCTAATCTTTTAATACTTGTATTTCTGAAAAAAAAATTGCATAAAAAATAGTGGCTACAGTTAGTACCATGAATAGAGCTGACAGTCAAGCACAGAAGAAAAGGGTTAAAACTTTTACTATTTCCAGAGCACTTCTTTTTCTATTGCAGAAATGGTACTGATGTACTATTTTTGAGAACAAAATTTTCTGCATATTTTTTTTCCTAGAAAAGGAGGCTGGGAGGTAGTGAGGGGAGGAGATATCAATTGGGGTGCGTGTCCCAAACAGGAAACTGGCAGTCTGGTATTCTGAGGTAGACACCTGTGGATGGGTCTAGTTAGGGGCTGAATGTTTTTGCATCTGGTACCAACACTGTATGCAGAAATAAGAGTATTTCTGCACACAATGTTGGTACTAGAAGAAAAAAAAAATTTAAAATCTGTCCTTATAATTTTTGCAATATTGTATCTAAATTAGTGGAGTTTACTTTAGGTATTCAAAATCAGTAATAGCAAGTAAATAAATTATTTAGGTAAGAATAATTTAGAGTATTCTGTTTGGAAGTACTGGGAAGGTATAGCTGCCTCTGCTTTGTACAAGAATAAGTCTTTAGTTTTATGCCACGTCAGTAGGAAAGTCCAGCTCTGGATGCTGAATTACAAAGTGGGCCAAGCTCTAAGCAGGGGAGTTAGTTTACCAGAGTATAAAACTAAGCTCAAGTTTAGCAGTGAGGATTTAAGGAATTAAGCATGAATTTCAGGCCTGGTGCATGGGAAGAGGTAACAGAGTGAGTGGAAGCAATGCCCCACATGCTAAGGGACAGTGAATCCAGGGCCACATTTAGTTTCTGAATGCTTGGATAACGCTGCTGTGGTGGCTACAACTTCCACACGGCCCTGTGGCTCCTCGGGGCAGGTGCGCTACCCTGCCCTCCATGCAGGTAACAGGCTCCATGCTGGTGCACATTGCTCCTGACACAGCCCCGGCACACAGGAGCTGCCAGCACAGCGAGCACAGCCCGAGGCAGCGGCGGCAGAGAAGCCTTCCCTGGCCGCAGCTGACACCCACAGGGAGACACTCCCAAAGCTGCCCGGGTGAGAGGCTGCCCCGTGGGCAGTTCCGTGAGCGTGGCCCTGCACTGACCCCAGGCACTCGGGAGCCATTGTGGCACAAGACCAATGCCGTGCAAACGGGTCAAGGAGTCACCTCGGGCCTTCAGGACACGATGCCCCGCGCCCATCTTGCCCCCTCGCTGCACCCCAGCATTGCGGTTGCCGGGCTCAGGAAACCACGTCTGGGAGCTGTAATAATAAACATATGCCTGGGGCCCTTGGGGTAAGCCCCACAGGAGTGTACAACAAACGCCTTCGTCCCCGCTAAGGCTGGCACAGCCACCCCGGCTCGGCGGTTCCCACAGCAGCTGCGGCAGGGCGGGCGCTGCGGGGCAGCACGGCCCCGGGCCGGCGGCCCCGCGCAGGCGCCGTGCGGGCAGGGCGCGCCCCGCCGCCGCTGGGCCGGGCCGGGCCGGGAAGAGCGGCAGCGGCTCCGCTGCCAGCGCGCAGCAGCGCGGGCAAGGCGTCGGGACCGGTAGCGAGCGGCGGGATGCCGCCGACTGCGCCATCGCTGGGCCTGATGGCTGACGGGCTGGGCAACAGCTCCGCTCTCGGTGGGTCGCTGCGGCCTCGGTCATTCGCCGCGGTGGGACGCTTCAATCCGCGACCCGCTCGTTCCCCGGCGGCGGCCCTTGTACCGCTGCGCGGGCTGTGACCTCGGCGGGCAGTACGGCCTCACTCGCCGCTGGGATGTCTAGGCTGACCCCGCTGCTTCTGCCGGGGCCCGACGCGGTTTCCTCGGGGTGCCCGGCTTTCGAGTCCCTGCTGGGAGCGAGGGAGGAGAGCGGCAAGGCAGGGGCGCGTCCCCCTCCGCCCTAGCCCGGGGCAGCCCGGGGCAGCGGGCTGCAGGCGGTCAGAGCTCCGCGGCTGAAGTTTCTCCCGCCGGTCAGCGCAGCGCGGCGGGGGCGCTCGGGGCGGGCACCGCCGGGTCCCGCTCGGGCGGGCTGCGATGCTCTCAGCGATCCCACCGTGCTTATGTCGCGACAGCCCGGCCTGCTGATATAGGGGCTTGTGGCCAGGAGGGGCGAAAGGAAAAAAAAAACCCAGCCAAAAACTATAATGAGCTGTGCGAGCTCGAGTCTGACAACTCCTCCGCAGTTGGTTTACTTTAACTGGGATCGGATGGCTCTTAAGGTAGAAGTGCATTAAGGAATTGTTTCTGTTTATCCTCTCTTGTGAGGTTAAGCTTAGCTTAGTGTTTAGGTTTTGGAAATGAAAATTGACTGTAACCCTTGAGAACTCTGAAGAGCACTTGCACACGTACAATCACCAAGGAAGTTAGTTTAAAATGACATTTTCTTTGTTTATATCTAACCACAACTGTTATGCTACTAATAATCTCAAAATGAAACCGAATTTGTTGCCGGTGTAGTCTGAAGTGCCTTTTTTTTTTTTTTTTAATTTTTGTGCATTGTCTGTGATGCTCAAACACTTGTATTAAAAACTGATGCTCATTTCCACTTTCAGCTTGATCAGCTGTATTACCTTCAGGTGGTATGACATAGGAGTGTACAAGCTTGTTTGAGAGTAAACTTTCAACTTAGTGGGAACAGTTAAGATGGCCATACTTACTAGCAAAGAATAAATCCAGAAGTGTCTTTCTTGTCTTTCTGGCATTCTTTTTGTATATTTGCATTTTACTTGGTGCAGGCAAGCTTGGTCAGAAGGGTTTGAGATATCTGCTACCTGCTGTTTATTTTCTGAAAGCAAGAGGAATGGAAGGCTTGTCGTCCAATGCTTCAGGAGAGTGGAAAGAAATAAGTACCACTATGCACCTTGAATTTCAGATTTACGTTGCCTGGTAGCTGCTGTCTGAGGACTTGAGGTTTTCTATGCAAACTATGAGGAGGAGAGAAGTTGTGGATTTTTCTTCTCCTCTTGATTATGATCATATATATATATATTTTTTTTTTTAAACAGATAAAAACTAGTTTGCTCTTTGGCTGTTACTTCAGGGAATTGCTGCATGTTGATACCTGCTGTAATTGCTATACAGTTTACCTGCTAGTGGTATTTTGAAGAGGCTGCAAACAAATGTTTTAGTAAATGAAAGGATGTGTGTATGTAGGTTTATACTGACTTTTTACAAATGTTTATACTCAGGATTGCTTTATTGAACTTGAATGTGGGTGGAGGACTCTTAGTATGCTGTGTGCATTTGTAGGATTGAACAACTACAACAGCAATTTAGCTGTATATCTCGCTGAAGAGAATTGTTCTTATGCAGGCTAAAATTTGGCAAGTGTAACAAGAGATGCAAAAAGCTGTGAAAGAATTTTCTTCTCAGAGTTTTACAAATGCTTTCTGCCAATGTATCTGCTGTATCTCAAGATCACAGTATACCTCTTCACATAGGAGATACTTTGGTTTGGGTTGAAGTTGATTTTTGACTTCTGTAAACTAGTAAGGATTGTTGTTAGCATGCATAAATTCATTGATACAATGTGCTTGGTGGCATTGATTTAGTGCTGCTCGCTAGATGCTGATTGTGCTTGTAAATTTAACCAGTGATAAGCAATAGTACTGAATAGCTCATGTGTCCAGGAAGGATTTTATTTCATTGCTTTTAAACGGCCGTACTGGTGAAATGTGCTTTATTAAACGTACTGTAGCTGTTTGCAGAGTGTGTTGTATTTGAAAACTGAAGTTTGAGGAACAATTTTCCAACAGAAATGCAAATGTAAAGCCCCAGTTCTGTGTATTTTTGCTGTAGGAGCTATATGCTGCTCAAGGAGCTATATGCTGCTCCAAAGCAATTACACCATAAGCACTGTAATTTAGTACTGGTAAACAGTGAACCATTAGCTTTTTGTCTCTGTATGTGTTAATGCAGCATTATCAATCACATACTGTGCAGCACAAAGAACAGGCTAAATCTTACTTCCCTTTATATTTAAATTTTCCCCTTTCTCAACAGGACAAAACTGCTTGATATACTGTTAATTTTTTTTCCTCATAGAATTCTAAATAATGTTGGATGCCTTCATGGTGTGGTGACTGATGATTGACTAGGTTTGGTCTTCCCTGTTGGTTCTTAAGCTCTCTCTGGCTGTGAGGGAATTGCAATGCTTATTGCAATTATTTCAGCGCTTAAAATCGTTGACTCTTATATGCATTATACAGGAATACTTTTAGCTGTATTTTTTTTGCTGTGAGTAGGACCTACTGTACATAGCAGGTACCTCCTTTCTGAATCCCCACCCTACCCTGAGGCTTTCAGAGAAGCCAGTCTAAAACTTTCTGCAGAAATTTACTGAATGTGTTGACAGGGTGTATAATTCAGAAGAAATTTGCATTAGTAAAGAACTTGTCAGGGTGGAGACTTGCCTCAGTGTAGTAAGCTCTCTTCCCAGACCTCCGGCAAAATTTGCCTACAGTCAAAATGTTTGTAGTGACTTTGGTGAGCCAGAGATTTTTTTGTCTCTAGTGTAAGAACTCTTAGCAGGCTGTGGCCTGAGTCACTTTGAAAAGCTCGGTGTTTTATGGTTGTGAGCATGATGCTGGGCACCATGGATGCTGTTTGGTGTCTCTGGTCGTGCCTGAGAATTGCTGCCTTACTGGGGCTTACTGTTGGTGTTCACTAAGTAGGTGCATTTAGAATGGGCTTTAAGGAAACTTGGCTGATCCTTCTGCTCACTTTCTTGAGATACTGCTTTTGACAAATCTGATGAAGGCTTTGAAGTTTGTTCTTAAAAGAAATTCTTCATCAGCCCTGTAACCTCTAAGGCAGTTGGCAGTGTGTTATTAGTTGTCAGTATGTTCCTTCATCATGTGGCTTCCTTTTTGTCATCTCACTTCCTGCTTATTTCACTTCTGGTTGTAGGTTCTGATTACTACAAGGAAGCCAGAAGTTAAGCGGAATTCACAAATGTGTTGAATGTTCTTCTTCGATGATAGGTGGCTTTCCTTTGTTATTCACTTTAAGCATATTCCCTGATGTACAATTTCCTTGAACAATAGACAAAGCAAGTGGTAGGGAACAGGTTTTCTTCACTTGAGGGCTTTTTTTCTCTAGAAAATAAAGTTTTTTTAACCTCTTCTTTACTGACTTTTCTAGTTTGCTGTCTTTTGTAGTTACTACCTGATTAGGAAGGTAGAAAAACCCTAATGTTTCCTCACTATTTTTTGTGTGTGTGTTTTGGGTAGTGCTATATTTTGTCTTGTGATTGAAATTGCTAGTAATTTCATCTGCTTAGTTTTGCAAAAGCAATTTGACTCTAGTGTCCAGAATAGATAACTGCTATTTGAATCAGATACTTGTAAAAAGTATATTTGTTTTGAAGTTGCATCAAACTCTTCTTGTTAAGTTTACTATCAGTAAAATAAAGACATGTATTAAATGAATACATGATTACCATCAGAGTAAATGATTTACCTAAATGATTTCCCTGATAAGCACCTGAATTAAGAATCTAAAAAAATTATATGTGACTTGATAATAGAAACCTCTACTGCAGCTCTAATAGAATGCTGTATCTCTGAGTAAGTTGAAGGTACTGAATGAAAGTATACAACGGATTTAGACCTTCTTTTAAGGAAATATCCACCACTTCTGAAATGCTAGGAGATACAAGCTGGCATTGAATTAACTTCACTAAAACTCAACTTTAAAAGTAAATGTAGTTTCCTAAATTCTTGAAATTGAGGTATTTAGTGTGTGTTTAGGAAATTAAGCTAATAAACAAGGAGTTTTTATTTTTATGCCTGAATTTAAAAGCATGTAATTTAACATGAAAGAAGTTTTATGCTAAATGATACTTAAAATGAATGCTGTAAATGAACGAGCACATCCAGATGGAGCAATCTGATCTAGTGAAGGTGTTGGGATTACATAGTCCCTAAAGTCCTTTCCAAATCATTCCATGAGCCATCCACCTTTGATATCTGTCCGGGAGGTAGGAAGTGTTGTTAGTATTTAATTTAGTTGAAAATACACTTCCTGTAGAGCCAGGAGAGGATGACTACATATCATCATCAGGTGTCTTTTCCTTGCAGGGGGAGCTGGGTTCACAGGCTGCCTGACCATTTCTCCTTGTGCCATTGCCACAGAAAGCTTAAGCAGTGCTTTTAGCAGCAGTGTGTAGGTCTGTGGGGGGAATTGATCCACAAGTGATCCAGGTACAAAAGAAGGGAAAAGACAAAGCACCAGAAAACACCCAAAAAAGAGCCAACCCCGTCCCCCCTCCCCCATGAAAATGATATTCTCTTTAAGTATTTTGAACCCTAAGTGATGGCCCTTTTTTCTGCTGCTGGGTAGACTGGCCCATTAATGGTGAGGAGGGGGAGAAATGCCTAAGCTGATATTGCTACTGAGGCATGTTTTCCAGCTGTGCTTAGCTGAGATGTTTGAGCAGATCATGTGCCATACCATAATATTTCATTTGTGTTGTACTTAAATAGGTTGTATGTTCTCGTATTTAATTTGTTTAAATATTAATTAACATTAAGGCCAACAGTAGTTTGTTTCTGTATACTGTCAGATTGATATCTATGTTTCATTTTCATTCCTAAAAGCAGGGAATATCATCCTGTAACTCCTTAAGCTTCATGGACA